GGGTCTCGACCCCGTGGGCTCAGGCAATCCACTCACCTCAGCCTTCCAAAGCGCGGGATTACAGGCTGAGCCACCGAGCCTGGCTACCATTGTGCTTTAAATTTTACTCCCTACTGAAGCCTAACTAAAAGTAAAGCAAAGAATTTTGTTCTGGGCATAATTCCATAAGGACACAGAAATCACAAAATCCTAAGGAAGCATTGGGAAAAGCTAAGTAGCAACCCTAATTATACAAGAGAATTCTCCAAAACAATCACCTACTGACAGTCCCAGGTACCTCTGAAAGTGGGACAGAAGGTGAGAGCACTTTAGGTAAGGTCCCTGGACCTGTTTTCTGGCCCCAACAGATATCTGAAGGTTTATTTGCTAAAGAGAGTAGGTCAGAAGACTGGGAGCCCAGAAGCCTATAGGCACTTGTGAGAAAGTGTGTATCAAACATACTACAAAGGATTGAGAGACTGTAAACAAGCTAAATGGGAGACACTCCCAGGCCTACTTCCCAGCTCTGTTCCCAGAACTTTACGCTCCACACAAGAGTCCAGAAGATTTGTCTGAAAAAATTGACCAGTTCAAATATACCAATACTGGGAATTCCCAAACAAACAGTCCACCCAGATCACCCTGTGGTGAAACTCAAAGTTAGCAAGCCACTGCTCCCACCCCCACTGACCTAGAGCTTCCATTCAGTAGCTGAAATAGGGTCCAAGCGCTTAATTCACAGACTTTAACACCAGTTTAAGTTATAAAAAGGAGAGGCCAGTGGCCACTTGCCTGCTGGACATAACAGTCCCACAGCAAGAGGCCCTGATTAGCTGTAGGGGCTTGCTTAAGGAAGGCTAGCCAGGCTCGGTGGCTCAGCCTATAATCCCGCACCTTTGGGAGGCTGAGGTGAGTGGATTGCCTGAGCCCGCGGGTTCGAGACCCGCCTGGGCAGCGAGACCTCATCTCTACAATAAATAAAAAAATCAGCCGGGCGTGGTAGCGTGCACCTGTAGTTCCGGTTACTTGGAAGGCTGAGGCGGAAGGATCACCGGAGCCCAGCAGGTCGAGGCTGTGGTGGCCGGAAGCGGCCACTGCACTCCAGTCTGGGCGACAGAGTGAGACTCCAACTCAAAAAAAAAAAAAAGAAAGGCTAAACTACGTTGGGACTTTTCAAGTGGGCTAAACCGCAACATCCTAGAGGCCTAGGTACCTTTCAAGCAATGCAAGCGTGGCTCACAGAAGCGAAAAAAAAAAGCTGTTAGACAGTTTAACCTAGACAGCAAGTGCTGTTGCCAGTTTCCAGGAAGGGAACCTCTTAATTGTGCAAAGGCTGAGTACATGTTAAACTGTGCAAAGGCTGAGTACATGTTTAGCCTAATTTTTGACATTGTAGATTTTTTTTAAAGCCCCGTTCCACATAGCAAGCCTCCCATGCTTAATCATGAGCATACAATCACATACCAAACATCTGGAGACGATCTCTGAAACTAAAGACAGAGAAAAAGAAAAAAGTAATCTGCAGAAGGCCATTGCCAGGCCATTGCGGTCATTGTCTTCCTAGACTCTGGTGTGGCCATGTGCTCTTTAGCTATGGCCGCTGCCATGTTTCTTGGCTTTGGCCCTCTTCCCTACCCTGGGGAGGTGAATCTCCTCTTTCTTTCTCTCTTCCTCTCTCTAATTTGCTTTCTAAATAAACTATATTTTCTAATCTAAAAAAAAAAGTAATCTGAAGAAATGAAACCCTTTCTAGAAAATAAAATATTCTTTTAAATACTGTCATTAGAGATTAGAGAATATCTTGCATCCAATAAATAAGAACATGGTACTATAAAAACAATATAAGCCAGGCATGGTGGCTCATGCCTATTATCCCAACACTTTGGGAGGTGAGGTGGAAGGATTGCTTGAGGCCAGGCATTGGAACGAGCCTAGGCAACATAGTGAGACCTCATCTCAAATTAAAAAAGAAAAAATAATAAAAATAGATAAAATTTAGCACACCTTTCATTTGAATCTGTACATCTTTTTGCTCTAATAGATTTTAATGAAATATTTTTCTCCTTGTTCTTCTCTCCTATGTTTGTTTCTGGAATGTCTACCATTCAAATGTTTAACTGTATTATTTTCTATTTTTAAAATCTTTGATTCTGTTTTCTATTTCTTTATCTTTTTGCTGTTCCTTTTGAGAGACTTCCTGAACTTCATTTTTGATCCTTTCTATTGAGTTTGTCCTTTCTATCATGTTTTGATTTTCTATGAACTTAATAGGTAAAAGTAGCCCTACACCAAGGCACATTACTGCGTAGTTTTTGAACACTGAGTATAGAAAAGATAATACATCCTCTGGAGCCGAGGAGAAAAACGGAAAGAAAAAAAAAATCAGGAATTGGGATGGCTTCAGTTTTCTCAAAAGCAATGTTAAAAGCAAGAAGACCATGAGACAATGCCTCCAAAACTCTCAAGTCAACCAATTTCTAACCTGGAATACTATACCCAAACTACCCAATCAGGTGAGGCCAGGTGTGGTGGCTCATGTCTGTAACCTCAGTGCTTTGAAAGACCAAGGCAGAAGGATCATTTGAGGCCATAAATTCAAGACAAGTTTAGGCAATATAGTGAGACCCCATCTCTACAAACAATGTTAAAAATAGGCCAGGCATAGTGGTGGTGCACCTGTAGTCCCAGGTACTTGGGAAGCTGAGACAAGAGAATCACTTGACCACAGGAGTTTGAGGCCGCAGTGAGCTATGATCATACCACTGCACTCCAGCCTGGGTGACACAGCAAGACTCTGTCTCTAAAACTAAAACTGAATTTCAAAAAAATCAAATGAGGGAGTAAAATAAAAATAATTCAGACATATAGAGTCTCAGAATTCTATCTACCTCCCCTGCATGCTTTTCCTAAAAAAGCTTTCACCAAAACAAGGGAGTAAACAAAGAAAGAAAAAGATGGGAGAAACAGAAATGGGGCTTCCAGTACAGGAGAGAAAAGCAAAGAATCTCCCTAGAGTGTCAGCAAAAGGAGGTCCTGGAATGATACTTTAGTAGCGGGTATAGGCAGAATAACAGTCCCCTAAAGATGTCCGTGACCTCCGTCCAGGTACCTATAGATACATATGTCATGCTACATGGCAAAGGGAAATTAAGGTTGCAGATGGCACCAGGGCTGCTAATCAGTTTGCATGATTATCTCAGGTGACCCATCAGGGCCCAATGCCATCACAAAGTTTCTTAAAAGAAGGAAGACGGGCTAGGTGCGGTGACTCAGTTCGTAATCCCAGCACTTTGGGAGGCTGAGGCGAGGGGATTGCCTGAGCCTGGGGGTTCGAGACCAGCCTGGGCAGACCTCATCTCTACACTAAATCACAAAAACTAGCCAGGTATTGTGGTGTGCATCTGTAGTTCCAGCTACTTGGAAGGATGAGGCGGAAAGATCGCCAGAGCCCAGCAGGTTGATGGTGGGGTGATGCACTTCAGCCTGGGCAACAGAGTGCGACTCCAACTCAAAAAAAAAGAAAGAAAGAGGCCCAGCACTTAGGGAGGCCAAGGTGGGAGGACTGCTTGAAACCAGAAGTTCCAGACCAGCCTGGAAAACATAGGAAGACCTCGTCTCTACAAAAAATTAGCCAGGCATGGTGGCATGTGCCTGTAGTCCCAGCTACTTGGAAGGCTAAGGAGGGTTCATCGCTTGAGTCTAGGGGTTGGAGGCTGCAGTGAGCTGTGATCCGACCTGCTGGGCTCTG